GCCCGCCGCTCATGGCTGTCAAGGCGGGGAGTTGATGTTGATGTGTGTGTGCCACATGTTTGTGTGCGCCCCCGCAGGTCTCCATCGTCGATGGCGAGGTGGAGATCCTGTCTCCTGGCGGCGCCCCCGCCAAGGTCGTCATGGTGAGTGCTCATTGCTGCCCTCCTGGCAGGCCCTTTCTGATGGCTCGGCCCACGCATGCATGGCCCAGGGCGCCGCCTGCCTAGGCTCCCCAGCCCACCCGCCCAACGGCCCACCCACCGCCGCCGCTTCCACCTTTTCCTTCTGCAGGCCGATGTGCCTGCCGGCGACTCTGTGGGCAGCATCATTCACGTGATCGACAATGTGCTGGTGCCCGACCTGTGAGCACCCGGGAAGAAAGAAACGGCGGCCACCCCAGCACGCCGGCCTGCTCCAAGCGCGACCGCCCATTTGCGGCAGCTGGTGGCCAGGCGGCGGGGCGCTGGCACTGCATGCGTGCCGCATGGCATGCTGCGTGCGGCATGAGCCTGCAGGGCAACCCCAATAGTGGGTCCCCGGGGCAGGGAAATGAAATAGAGACTGCGATTCATTTCATTGATTCGAAGTACCAAAGTACCGTAATGTACTCTGCACAGCCCCTCCCCTTTATTGCAAAAGCTTTTTCGTAGCACCGCTCTTCAGTCTGTAACTCAGCAGTGCCGGAGGTGGCCCAGTGCGTGCCAGCGGTGGTGGTGACCGACCGGGTGCCTGCAGGCGGGTGGTAGGAAATCAGAGGGCTGAGAAGGTGTGCTGGCAAATAGGGAATGTGAGATGACTGCAATCTCTTGTGAAGCTGCCGTTTTCTCCTTTAATCCAGCACATGAGCCGCTATGGGCTGACAAGTACAGACGGGCAGCGGCGCCGCCTGTGATTGGCTTTGCCGTGTGCATCTCACTCCACAGCATTGTTGGTTTCTCCTCACCTGCCCCTTTAAGGTGCTCAGTGGAAACCAAAGCGGCAACGTGCGTGCCCAGAGAAAATCCGACTGTGAACCTCTGCAGGCTGCCGGCTCCCCTTTCAACCGTATATTTTCTTCTATTAGGTGTCCTGGTGAAGTAGGGATCATGCCCCTGCGCTTGAGGGGCACGACCGTCAGCCAGGCGGCGCGCGACGGGTGAGCATCGCCGCAGCAAGGCGGAGGGGGAGTCCTTGGCCGCCTAATGAGAGTTAAAAGGCTGCCACATATGGCGCCGAGTGGGCAGCCGTCCGCCACCTCCTGCCACCGCCCACTGGCCCGCCCGCCAACCTGCCTGCCTTGCTGCGCTGTTGCAGGCAGCTTTACACTTGGGCAGTTGCAATCATGCTGGCAGTGCTGTATCGCGCTCCATTGACGGAGGGGGAGCGGTGGCGGCTGGCAGGGCTGGCCGCATTCATGGCAGCCCAGCTTGCGTTCTTGACCTGTTGGCGCCGACAGTACCTGCGGTGGCGCACCCCGCTCGTGGCCGTCTCCCGTGCCCAGGGCCTGCTGGTGCCGGTCCTGGTGCTTGACACGCTCCGCGCGCTGCAGCCCACGCTGCAGCCGTCCCCTGCAGCAGGCGGCGACGGCATGGGCAGCAGCAGCAGCGGCGGCGTCGCCGCCGCGCTTCGTTCGGTGGTGGTGCTTCTCGTCCCGCTGGCTTGGGTGGATGCTTGCTTCCTGGGTGCAGTGGGGCATCCGCTGCCCCCGCTGCTGCATGTGGCGGTGCAGAGCGTCAGCATGGGGCTGCTGGCGTGGCGAGCACCAACAGGTCAGCCTTGCGGCCCCTGGAGACGCTTGAAGGCGCCTCGAGGGCTGCCTGGCCTGCAGGCCTGCCTGGCTGGCACGATGGATGCGACCTGGGGCCGATGCTTTCCAGCAAGGCTGGCCCTGTGCCTGCTCGTGCCTGTTGTGATGCCTGAACTGCCACCACTCAGTATTGTTGCCTGCTGAAATCCTCTGCCCTTTTTTTTGCGTACCTGCCTGCAGCCTGCCGCGACTATGTGGCCCAGCACCCGAGCAACCCGCGCGTGGTGCAGGCCGCTTACTGGCTGCTGCAGCAGCTCACGTCCCTGTTGTGCGGGGGCACGCAGCAGCTTGTGGCGCTGGCTGGCGGCGCCGTCAGCGATGGGCAGCAGTGCGTCGCGGTGGTGTGGGCGCTGCAGGTGCGGTGAGGGACGGGGTTGCTGAGGTGCTGCCCCGCACTGGCTGCTGCCATGTCCTTGGCATGCGTACAGCTCTGTGACCTGCCCTGAAGGAATCCCTGGGTGCTGCTGCGCTGCCTGCTCGTCGCTCTCTGCCCGGCGTGTGCCGCGAGTAAAGTCAGCGTGGGTGCCTGCAGGCCTCCCTGGCACTCGTGCTCCCCACGCTGGTCATCTGGCAGCAGCAGCTTGCCACAGCCAGGCAGGCAGCGGGCCAGATGGGGAGGCAGGAGCAGAGGGAAAGGGAGGCGGGCGAGAGCGAGCAGCACGCCGTTGGCGACTGCCACCGCAAATCATTGGTGGCAGGCATTGAGCTGCGGCTGCTGGAGGCGGCAGAAGGCATCAGCTGGCCGCTGGCCACGGCTGCCTCGGCGCTGCTGGCATTCGCAGCGCGGCTAGCCTGGCAGGCGCTACCAGAAGGCGCAGCGGTCTAATCGGCAAGTTCAGATGGTCGTTGCCTCTTGCTGTTGCCTGCAAACTGAGATCAGCTCTGCAATGAAGATTTGGGAACACCAGTGAATTTTTGCAGCAGATTGTGTGTGTGAGTGGAGGCGGGCATAAGGAGCGGTGCAGCGGGTCGCCACCTGGCCGCGCCCACATTGTTGGGTGACGGCACATTGTCTCGCACGCATGAGACGATTTAGCCGAGCGCGAACGTCAAGAAAAGTGCTTGCACATCCGAAAACCCTAAAGGCTCTCTCTTTAAGAATAACCGGCGTAAGAACCGGTCACTTCCGCCCTTGGTGGTTTTGCACAAGCGGAAGCGGTCCTCGACGGAATGTCTGGGGACCAAGGGCCTCCATGGGCGTCGCACTTTGCTCGCCGCGACCTGTGCGTGGTTTGTGGACGCTTTTTGCAGCGGGGACAGCGGCTGCTTGTGAGGGCGTATGAGTGCCGACACTACTGTCGTCGCGATTGGCGCCAGCGCCATCCCGCCAGCCGCCGCGGCTGCGTCTCCGCATGGCGCCGCTCCCCCAGCCTGCCGCTGTTGCCCGGGTGCTCTGGCCCTGGCCAGCTGCCCACAAACCTGCTGCCGCTGCCGCCTGGTACCTGCAGGAAGGCTGTGAGCTGTTCGGTGCTGATCCATTTGGCCATCCTGTGGGGGTCAAAGCTGACGCCAGCGGAGCATCGCCGCCTCGTCACCTTCACCGCCGCCCTGCTGGCGGCCCTGCTGCTCAACATCCGCCACCGCCGCCGCTACCTGCGCGTGCGGGCGCCCCTGATTGCCGCCATCCGTACCATGTACCTCCTGTTCCCAGTCATCATCGTGGACACAGTGCGAGGCACCAGGGCGTCGGGCGACGCCGGCGGCGAGGCGCACACCGCCGCCAGCCTGCTGCGCGCCTCGGCGCTGGTCCTGACGGAGCTGGCGTGGACGCCCGCCTGCATCGCGTCGGCCGTGGGCTGCCCGCTGCCCCCGCTGCTCCACGCCGTGCTGCACAGCGCAGGCGTGGGGCTGTTGATGCGGCGAGCACCGGCGGGTGCGCGGTGCAGTGTAGTGTACCGCAGTGCAGTGTAGTGCGGTACAGCGCAGCGCCGCAGCGGTGCATCCCTCCTGGATCCAGCATGAGGCGTGTGGCTGTGCTGCCAGTCAGGGCTATGCATCCCTGTGCCTGCCCTGCATGCAGCGGGGCTGCGCAGCGCTGCCTGCTCTGCAGGCCTGCCAATCCACTGCCGCTGCGCCTGCGCCTGCTGCTGCAGCCTGCGGCGACTTTGTGGCCCAGCACCCCAGCAACGCGGCAGTGGTGCGCATGATGTATGCGGCCCTGCGGCAGGCGGCATCGCTGCTGTGTGTGGGCACGCGGGAGCACCTGGCGGCCGCTGGCCAGGCCGCCAGCGCCGCCTGCCAGTGCACCGTCGTGGTGTGGGCGCTGGAGGTGAGGCACGGGGGATGCTGCCTGCAGGGTGGGGTGTCTGGTGTGGGTGAGAGTGAGGTGGTGGATGTGGGTGGGCGTGGGTGGGAGAGGGGTGGTGGTGGCATGAGGCGTGCCTTCCTGCTGCACAGCCCCGGCGCTGGGGAGTGAGAGCTGGCGCCCCAGCCTGCCCCGACCTGCCCTCGTGAAGCGGTGCCCGCAGGCCTCCCTGGCCCTCGTGCTGCCCACGCTGATCATCTGGCAGCAGCAGTTGGTCATGGCCCGGCAGGCAGCGGGCGCGCTGGGCAGACGGGAGCAGCGGCAAGGTTATGGGGAGGCAGGCGAGGGCGAGCAGGGCGCCGCGCCAGCTGGGCGGTACGCCTGGCGGTACGCTTGGCCGGGCACGGCAGTGGGCGGCAGCCACCTGCGGCTGCTGGAGGCGGCCGAGGGCGCCAGCTGGCCGCTTGCGGTGGGCGGCTCGGCGCTGGCAGCCTTTGTGGCGGGGGTGGTGTGGCAGTCCACCACGGCGGCGCGGCCCTGAGCCCTGTAACGTCGCGGCGCTTGCAGCAACACGCACACCTCCACAGATCTACAGCACCTCTGGTGGGGCAGGTCTGGCAGGGCACAGCACATGTGCGAGGGATGGCAGGAGGGAGGTGTCGAGAACTGAGGGCACCACCCAAAAAATACACGGGCTCGGTAGCACGGCTCGGCGCAAACGCAAGCGCGCCTGGGCCGCCAGAGAACGGCCGTTTGTTCATGCACAGGCATACCGCCGGCTGGCGCCAGCGCTTGGCACGCACGCAGCGTGCGTCAGTCAGTCGGCCCCGCCAGCTGCCGCCGCCGCCGGCGGCCTCGACGGGGCGCCGCTGCTGCCACCGCCGCCGCCGCCGCCGCCGCCGCCGCTCTTGCCGCCGTCGCCGCCGCCCCCCGCTGCTCGGTCCTTCCACAGCTTCCACCCCAGGTATCCTGCCAGTACCAGGGTGGTACCTGCCCCCGCATACAGCAGGCCCCTGCGCAGCATGCGGCGGTACTGCCGTGCCGCCTGCACCACCGCCACGGGAAGAAAGCAGCAGAGCGGTGAGCAGGGACCCTGCTCACGTGGCGCAAGCCGCAGCCAGGCAGCGGCCAGCTCAGGCTGCCCAGCCCAACCAACGCCGCGGCCAGCCAGGCTGGCTGCAGGGCCGCATGGCCCCTCCACCTCCCTCCACCTCCCTCCACCTCCCTCCACCTCCCTTCCCATCCCTCTGCAGGGACACCGGGCGCGGCGCGAGCCGTAGCCACCACCGCCACCCAAGGGTCGCGGCTGCCTCTCCCGGCCAGCGGCGGCGCACCTTGAGACTGGGCGTCTCGGGTATGGCCAGCTCCGGCTGCTGCGCGGTGAGTGCGATTGCCTGGTAGGCGGCGGCGGAGGGGCGCAGCGTGTAGGAGGCGGGCAGGCGCACCGCCAGCTCGCTGCACGCCGCCCCGATGCGCTCAGCCTGCGTGGGGCGGCGGGCGCGGTGTGGGGCCGGGTGTGGGTGTGGGGCCAGGTGTGGGCCGTCAGGTGTGGGTGTGGGTGGCTGGGTAGGGCGGCGTGGCATGGCAGGGCACCGCCGCGCCCAGCCCAGGGGAGCACCGTAGGCGCACGCGGCTGGGGCGGGCCTGAGAGACGGAGAGAGGGCATGCGCCCGCCCGCCTGCCCGCCTGCCTGCCTGCCCGCCTGCCCGACCACGCGTGCCTCCCGCTGCCGCCGGCCGCGCCGCATGCGCCGTGCTCACCAGCTGCGGGGTGGCCTCGTTGTCGTTTGCCTGCAGGAAGAGGCAGGGCAGGGCGTCCCCCGAGGCCGTCGCCACCGCCAGCATCCGCTCCCGCGCCGCCTCGAAGCTGCCTGCACAGCCGGCGGCGCGGGCAGGCAGGGGGGGCGGCAGGGGCGGGACGCAGGAGGTGGCGGCAAGGTGAGGTGCGCCGTGGTACGGGAGCCAGCTGAGAGGAAGCAGAGGCACGCCAGGACCGCCCCTGGCCGGCGCAGGGCAGCAGCTGCCTCGGCCCCAAGCTCCAGCCAGGCGAGCGTCTGACGGCCGCCGCTGCGGCACGCGGGGCCACGCCACCCTCTCCCGCAGGCGCCCCTGCTCCCGCTGCCGCACACCCACCCGGCTGGCTGGCATCAAACAGAAAGGCTGCCACGTCACAGCGCAGCAGCTCCTCGGCCTGCAGCACCTGGGGCGGGCCGGAGGGGCGGTACCGGGCGGTACGGGGTGGTGTCAGGCCGGGGAGGGGCGGTACAGGCTTCTATCCAGCGTGGCGGTACAGGGGGCTGGGGCACGCACGGGCTCAGCAGAGCAGGCAGGGAGAGCAGGGCAGGCGGAGAGGGTCCGGAGGCAGCCTCGGCAGCAGGCGCTGCTCGGCTAGCCAGGCCGCCAGCCGGCATGCAAGGCGCAAGAGGCAAGAAGCCAAGAGGCCAGCCGGACAGCCAGAAAGCCAGCCAGCCAGCCTGCGCCGCACCTGCGCCTGCTCCTCGGTCACCGACCGCAGGATGAGTGTGGTGCCCGGCTCGCCGCCGCCGCCGCCGCCGACCGCCGCTGCCGCCGCGTGAATGGGCCCCGCCAGGCTGCCGTGCGCGGGCCGCGCCTGCGCTATCAAGCCCTCCAGCACCGGCGTGGCGTCCACCCCTTCTGCAGGCGGCGGCGGGAGCGGGGGGAGGGCGGCTGGGTGAGCCAGGCAGGGCCTCCTGCTCTGGCAACAGCAAGTGGGGCACCCGTGCCAGCGGTAGAGGCGAGGTGGGGGCAGGCAGCAGCACGCGCTGGGCAGCTGCACGGAAGCCGCGCGCGCCCGGCGTGCCTGGCGCGAAGAGGAAGCACTGCAGCACGCCGCGCCGCGGCGCGTCCGCGCGCCGCTCCTGCCGCCGCGGCCGCGACACCTGGAACAACCTGTCGGCGGGGGCGTCCTCGGGGTACCTGCAGCGAGGGACGAGGGTGGTACCGTGGCGGTACCATGGTGGAGCCGGAGGCATGGCGGTACTGTCGGATGGGCAGGGCACTAGCAGCCTGGCACGCTGCAAACCCCGCGCTGGCAGAGCAGCCCGCCCCCAGCAGGAGCGCCCCGCCCGCAGGCAGCCCGCCCAGCCCACGCCCGAGCAGGCCACCCCATACCCCCACACAGACCCTCACACAGACCCCCACCACCCCACACCCACCCGAGGTAGTAAGCGTATGCCAGGGTGTGGCGCGGGCTGCCCGCCGTGGTGACTGCCCACAGCGCCAGGAAGCCGTTGAGGGTGAGCAGGCCCTTGCGGCTGCGCTCCACCAGCAGGCCCTCGTAATCCAGGCTGGCCCAGGGGCTGCGGGGCGGGGTGGTGGTGGGTGGGTGGGGGAAGGGGAGGAGGCAGTGTGTGTGTGTGTGTACGTGGTGGAAGGGGGAGGAGTGAAGGGGAGGAGTGAAGGGGGGAACATCGGATGCGTGCAGACCGCCCCACGGGACAATCCCAGCACGGGCAGGCCCACCGCGCCAGCCGGGCAGGAGCAGCGCCGGCCGGCCGCGCCCGACTGCGTGCTGACCGCCCCGCCAGAACCAAAGGCCCAGCTCACTCTGCGGGCGCTGTGGAGAACATCTCCTCCTGCT